AGCAACTGAGTAAGCAACTGAGAACCAAGGAGATGAGTGCGATTTAACTTTATATTTTCTTGCTCGGATGAAAGCCTTGATGCCAGCTTGTACCCAGGAGGAGACCCCAGACGCACATTTTTGAACGGGGTGATTAGAAACCACATTCCAGGGGACGTCGAAAAGGAAATCACGAAACGATTCCGTCTGCTAGTTGATAACAGAAAGATATTCTGTTAGTAGGAGGTTTTTGTCTGGTGTGGAAAAGTAGAAGGAGATGTTAATAGACATTACAGCATGATCAGAGTTGCCAAGAAGGCAGAGGTGCGTAGCGCGACAAGAGTCAGGGAAGGAGGTAAAACAGAAATCAAGAAGGGAAGCGTTATCGTCAGCGTTACTGGGGAAACGTGTAGGAAAGTCAACCACTTGTGTGAGGGATTGAGTGATTGAAGAGTTAAGGGTTTGCATGCCAGTGGGGTCTGTTACAGAGTGTTTAAGCCACATGTTAGGGTGGGCGTTAAATTCACCGGACACGAATATGTGCGCAAACGAATGTAGAGAGATGGCCTTGTCTACATTATCGGAAATGCTATCGAGTACACCACATTGTTGGGAGGAAGGGGAACGGTAGTGAAAGAAGAGATAGCTTACTGAATTGAGCAGAGATAGACGGAGACACATATCCGAATAGTCTGGAGATTCAAGAAAGAGTTCCCTAGCCAGCGGGAGATGACCACTGGCATAAACTCCCACTCCATGCATGTGGATTTTAGAGTCCTTTCTAAGGAGAGGAAGGTAGACTATAATCGAGAAATCAGAGGCGGAGGGATTGACGAGTTAAGGTTAGTCTCACAGAGAGCTAGACTTTCCAAAGAGGAATGATTCCACACTGGAGAAGTTGGTACGAATCCCACGGATGGTACAAAAGTAAATGTTAAAGGGTTTAGGGTTTTTTTTTCTTCTTTTTTGAGTTGGTTTAGGTTTAATTTTTTGATTGTTTAAGGTCATATTGAGTTATGTTTGTAAGGAAAAGGCCTAAAGTAACAGTAGCCATCGTATGAGACATGGACAGAAAGGAACTGGCGCAGACTGCAACATAATGTGGCCTGTTAATTCTCATGATTTCTAAAACATACATGTTACTTAAGTTTTTATGGTTCAAAGATTATTTTTATTGCATACACATATTTCAGTAGACCTTCCGTTTATTTTTAAGCAGTATTTATTTCGACTACCGGTCTGCGTAGTCGAAAAATCTTAATAAATGCAATGTGGCCTAATTTTCCTCGAGTATGCACCCCGTTAGACAAAATAGATACTGTTTAAAATGAATCGTCTCCTCAAATACGGGTATCCAATAAAAATATCGTTTGATGTAATAAAAAATATATCGGATTAATATATAAAATCCTTTAATTCTTTAGAAATTGCTTTGTTTATATTTTGAATGTGAAACTGAGATATGTTTTTCGGGAAAATCTGAACCAGTCAGCGTGCTTTAAAAGCAAAATAGAACCTTGTTTTATTCTGGTGCTTTTCGTGGCCGAGTAGTAACAGCACGTCGGATGAAATAGTGGTTCCTTCTGCAAAGGGGGTGCAGGTTCGAATCCTGTCGAGGGCACGTTTTCTTTAAGTTTTCTTGAGTACGCCGGCCGCTAAATGAAATAAATATTATTAACATTATTTATATTATTCGGACTGTTGTTCTCATCTTTATTGTCAGAAGAAAGGTCCGACCTTCTTCAGGTGATATACGTTGGAATTGCGAAAAGAAATGGATAAATTGTTCTTGTTCATCGTCTTTTCATGATATCTCAGTTTAAGTTATTTCCCTTTAGTAACTCAACTCCCCAAGTTTTTCTTCACCTCTGCTGTGGCCAGGTATTGAACTCACTTTTTGGATTACTTCAACCAACGCTTTTTATCCACTTGGCCATGTGATGTCCTTGGGGATATCCCTGAGAGAATTTTTGGAACTTATAATCCTAATGTCTCAGTAACCATTTTTTTTTACATAGAAATCTAATGTCTCAATAATTTTTTTTTTACCAGTGCTCATATTACAATTTTTTATTATCTTTAATAAAGCTTAGCTCTCTGTATTACTGGTTCCCGTATTATATTCATGTCTACACTTGGCCCGGTTAGCAGATTTTTGTGGCTTAGCATATGTGCTGATTCCTTAAGTTTTCGTATTTCCAGTGATGTTCTCTGTCTATTATTTCAGCCTCAACCCACAGAGGGCGGTGATCTCCTTTTTCCCTCCATAGATGGAGGAAAAATGGAGATCTAACACCGTGGACTAAATAAAAAGTTCGGTTCTAAATTCTAACGTATACCACTTGAAGAAGGCCGCAGCGTACAACCGATAAAACTTAACATGACAATAAAGATGAAGATAACAATCCGAATAATGTAAATAGTTACAGCACCTCATCTCAGAAATATAGACAGAAATAAATACTGTTTAAAATAAACGGATCGTCTACTCAAACACGGTTATCCACTAAAGATAACGTTTGAAGTAATAAAAATACGTTGGGTTAACAAAATAAAATCGATTAATTCCTTAGAAATTGCTGTGTAAAAGAGTAAGATCTTGAAATATAGATTTACCATAATCTACGCAAAAAATAGGGGGTCGCATTATACACAAGTAATTTTTTTGAAGAGGTTAAAAATCAAGTCATTTGCACTAAACATAGGTACATTTTTTTGATTGGTTAAAATTTATGCAAAAAAAAAAAAAAAAAATCAGAGGTTGCACTATACATAGTCGGCTTATACACGGGTATATACGGTAGTTAAAACAAAAAACAAAAAAAAACTTATTGATTCCAATTCCACCCTGATGACTTCTTTGACCGCTTCTTTCTAACGGCACCCTATCACCCTCTTTTACTTTATCGGACCCTGGATCTTTTCACTCTTCCCAGTGTTGTAATACGGCCCACTTTAGGGGTCCCAGCTTTAATGAGTTCAAATCTCAATAATGTGTATCCGACTAAGGTGTTCGTTATCCATATTATTTATTGTGGGACTAACTCCTAATCACTGTTGTAATTATCACAACGTTGTGCACTGTGGCCCTTTTCAGTTGTCTGTCGAACATTCAAAGCATTTACAACTGAATCCTTTATTTAATCTATAGGGATAGATTGTTCTCTTTCCGCTATTGATGTCTAGGGATATCACGTCTTGTTATTTTTCGTACTGTTCAGTTATTTCTTGCCGGGTTACCACGGAGTCTAAGTCTGTACTACCCGGTTCAGGGTCCATGTCACAAATTCCATGGATCAACAATATCCCTTAGTCTAGTCTAGTTAGTCGATAGAGAATGACAGAGATCGCAAAAACAGCTTCTTTTTATTTACTAATATTCACCCGATACAAGGCTGAAGAGCCACTCAAGGTAGAGGATTACTTAATGTGATATGAATATAAGATTAGGAATTAAGAAGTGATGATTATGTGAATATGGAATATAGGTAACGATTGACTCTCGACTTAGATTAAGATTATAGTGTTCTGGGAAGCATCCACGTGGGAGCCTAGTCCAAAAAGCAGCGGTTCTTGAGAGAAAAAAAAACTGTCTGAATGGAACTTCTTCTCCCCCATCACTTTTACACTTGATTTAGCCTCTTGCCTTTTTACGTTGTGACGCTATGTTTGGTATAAGTTAAAATGAAGTAGTGGAGGCCATTTACTACTTAAGTGAGTACGACCTGCACCGGGTGCTCAACATATGGAGACTTGTGCTATAAACTTTTTCTAGTACACTATATATATTTATTTTACACTATATACATTCGGACTGTTGTCCTCATCTTCGTTGTTGTTATCATAACGTTTCGGCCTTTGTGATCTCCGGTCTTCCTCAGGTGTATATAGATCTGTGTAAACTACAGAGAATTCCGAACTGAACCCGTTATTTAATCTCCGGGGTTAAACTCGTTCCACTGCACATGTCTAGATATATCGTCTGGTTCTTATTTCATTTAGTACTGCTATGAATCCTCTTCTTCTTCCCCCCAGCTATGGGTAAATAGCAGGACACACTGGGTTCTATAGCCTTGGATGGCAACTTGGCTAGGAGAAGGACAACTCTGAATTCAAAACCTGCGGAGGGTCGTGTTTGGAGACCTTGGGGCGCGTAGTGCACCCTTGGTTCTGCACAAAGCCTTGACCACTATAATCAAATCATATGAAAGATGTAGAAGTTTGGCTTTTCACCATTACTTTCAAATCGAGATTTGAAAGAAAAGTGTGTGTGTGTGTGTGTGTGTGTGTGTGTGTGTGTGCGTGTGTGTGTGTGTGTGTATCATTGTTACATCCTATAATATTGTTTGTAAACATTTATCTTGTCTTACAATTGTGAAAATGCTTTTCCCTTTTTGTTTGAATCGAACGCTTCTCTGTGTTTTACTATCGTACATTAGGGGAAGGAATTGAGAAATCGGTGTTTTTGCATGCAGATGAATGTATCATGTTTGCATTTTCCACAAGTATGTTGCGGACAGAGGCTGGTAGGCCGCCTCGTGTATTTATATTACGGTGGAATAATGGATGGCGCCTCGGACTGAGGAATCGGAGAGCCAAGTTCGAATTCCAGTCGAATCCATTACATTCACTTACTTGGGAAAGGTATGAGTCCTATTCTTCTCCCCCCCCCCCAGGTATGGGTAAAAAGCAGGACAGACCGGCTTTTATAGCCATGGATGGCAAATGGTCTACCGCAGAAAGAAATGGCAACCTACTGCGGGAAAAAAAATCTGCCTTACATGACTGACAAGGCAGATCGCCTAAGCGTGTATCACGCATAGAACATAACTGACTGACTGCTCAATTATTACGCACCCGTTTCCACTAAATACAAGTACACACTGCCCGATCCAGGGATTGAACTCGCTCACTTCTTATATTTTAAAAGAATCGTGAATGTGTTTGTCGCGCACGCACTCACAGAGGGAGACGAGGAGAGTAAGATAGAGAGAGAGAGAGAGAGAGACCCTAGTTTCTTC